TATATATATATATATATCATTGTATCAAAAAAGAAATTTATTAATATTTTTTTAATCTTAAAAAATATATTTTCAATCTTTTTCACACTGTATTTCTTTTTATGTTTGGCATATAAAATAAAAGGTTGCATATTCATTATGTACTGTATATGTACATTTTACAAATTTTCCAAAGAGAAAAGAAAAATATATATATGTGTATATGTAACAAGATTTTTTGCATATAATAAAATGCATGTAGAATATGCGATTTCATATTAATCAGCTTAGGATTAATTGAAACCACTTCTGAAATTACATAAATATAAAAATGTTTGTGTACCCTGCAATAGAAACGCTTACAAAAACACTTTCTAGTTTTATCAGAATGTAAAATAAAATTTGTGGATATACTGTGGTTAATTGTGAAACATTTCTTAAATTACACACACGCGCGCACACATACATACCCTCTCGCTCTCTCTCTCTCTCTCTCTCTCTCTCTCTCTCTCTCTCTCTCTCTCTCTCTCTCGCTCGCTCGCCCCCCCCCCTTTCTACTCTCTTTTCTTTGCTCTTGTCTCTCTTATAATTTATGGTGAAAAATACTTATTGTGTAAATTTCTTTACTAATGCTAACAATACAACAAAAGTGCAATAATCTTAATAACAATGGAATGTATCTATGTTTTACATTCTATAAAGTGTAGGAATGTTCAGTATCATCCTGAAATTGTTTTTATAAAATTATATGGTTTGTCAATATTAAAATGTAACCACGTTGATTGGTCAGGAACACACCTGCTTTAATATATACATAAAGATAAAAGCTGATTCAAACTAAGGGATTTCATTGTACCTAATACTGTAGGAGTAAAAACTTCAAATTGTATATTTTCACTGAAATGATGTATGAATAAATATATATTTAATATTTTTAATGTTTATAATATATTTCTAAAATAGACAAGTTAGTTTTTAATGTATGTTATAGAAAAATAAATATTAGTCAACAGTCAAAGATTAAATATTATCCTCTGATAATGTTGACTAAATCTGTTCTACTAAAAGTAATGTTTATAATGAAATTATAATAAAGACTACAATTTTAATAGAAGTATAAATTTTATAGTATAAATATAATGTCATTATAAATAAAATTAATTCTGTGCAATAAAAATTGTAAAATATGTTAACTGATTATGAAATCTCTTTGTTTGAATCATTTACAATATTTACTATTGATGAAATTACAGTAATTGTGTGCTACTAAAAGTTCTGTGAAGGAAGCAGGCTGTACAACTGTTACAAACAGATTTTGATTTGTCAAGCATCCAGTTGATCCATTATGAATTGTACTTAGTTATTGCATCTTATTTGGGGCACAGTATATTTATACCAATATGTTTATCAAGGTATTGGATTGCCCAAAAATTGAATTACTTAGTCTAAAGCTTTTATTAGTTATTTAAATGTTAAAATTCATGGATGCAAGAAAACATATAAGCACCTAATTTTTTATTGAATATTATCTTCAACTTTTATAAATACTTTTAGTTTTATGCATTTAGCACCATTATCTTTGATGAAAAATAATTTTACGTATTTTTTAGGCAATCCATTTTCAGACGGATGATTTACTGATATCGTTATCAATACTATACCAGTAACTTTAGTTAAATGAGGTAATTAATGACACTTTGGTCATAAAATCAGACAGGAATTATTTTGATAAACATAACAAAATTGTTACAAAATTTTTTTAGAAAGATATAACTAAGTGTTCAACAACCATTAATGTAACTGATTACTTTTCATTTTTTTAAGATATTTTAACATTGAGATAATTGGCTTTATGAGTAATAATACTAGACATATTTACAAAACAACGTAGAAGGCAGTTTGTCTGAAAGTGTGTTATCAAAAGACTTAGTATTACTCTTCTAATTCAGTTAACAATATACCATAATTTTTAAAACAAAAATGCAATAGTATATTTACTTTAATAGTTTAGTTTAGATTTTTGCTGTTTTTCATATCAATGCAAGTTATAAATTTTTAAACAACTGCTTCTTAATACATTATAAAATTATAAATATGTTTACAACATGTATTTTATAGAAATTTTTCCTGGGAACTTTTACATGACTCCTACCTTTAATAGTTTGAATTGCAAAAAATATAATTTAACATCTTATTACATAATAGCAGATAGTAATGACAGTTCATCAGTTTAGTTTATAATATTTAATTTCTTGTAATAAAATTTTTGTAACGTTTTTATAAAAAAACTGATCCTTTCCATATGATAATATTATTTCCATAGAATATTTATTTAAAAATTATTATTCCTAAATGCTGTTAAAATAAAATTTCTGATTTATAAAAATATGTTTTTGACAAAAGACTCTTATAAAATACTGAAAATATAACATTTATAAATTATCTATTCAGACATTTCCCTTCTACGTTCGTTTTTTTCTTCTTTTTTCCTATTTTCTTTTTATGGGAAAACTTATAAGTATTGAGCCATAAATGGCAGTGCCACGTTAGAAACCAAAATAATTTTGCAAATTTATGAATTCATAGCAATTTGCATTAATATACTTGATGCCCTGACATAGGATATAAATGAAATAACATTTTAAACTTCTTACAGTAACTCTCTAGTGGCATATTTCATAATTACAATTCCTTTGCACAATTTGCTGTAATACCCGTTGAAAAATTTGACATCTTTTTATCCATTTTTATGTCTTCAAGCTAAAATGTAATTGAACATGCAATATTTAAAGTATATAAAAGAAATATTATACAGAAAAATATATTTATATATATAAATAAATCTAAATTCATATACAAATTACTTACACATGATGTACTACTTAGTATATCATCCATATCTTCAATTTCTTCACTTATATCCTCACTATGAGCACTGTGAATTTTATCTTGCTTTTTCGTTTGTAGTTTTATTGGACTATCTGATTTTTCAGCATCCTTAGATGGACTTTGATCATAAGCACTGCCAGATGCAGATGAGACAAAATCCTCTTCATAGTTATCTATACCATCAGTTCCTAAATATATTACATTTATGACATAGATATTATAAAAAATATGTTATAAAAATATACGTCAACATACCAAGTCCAATGTCCATCAATTCTTTCAGATCATTAATATTAGTTTTTTTACCGTTTAGTGGTGGGAGATTGCTAAGTATAGAATGTGATTTTTTATCTAAAGATGGTAAATCTTGTAAAAAGGTATCAGTATTACGTATATCATTAATATTCTCTCTTTTTCCATCAACAATAATTTCTTCAAAGTATACAGTTTTTCCAAAACTGTTCCCAGTATTAACTGGTTTCTTGTTTTGTACATTATTTACTATTTGTAATTCCAAACTATTTATATTATTTTGCTTATTTATATCTTCATTTTGATTTGTTTGCATTTCAGTAACTATAGATTCATCAAACTTAATTAAAGGCTCGGTTTTATTTAGTAAACTTGTTTGGATGAGTGTATCTATCTCAGTCTCCTTTGTCGTATGATTCATCACTTTACTTGTGCCATTTGGACTTATAGGGAGTGTATCAAAATTTCTACTATTGTTCCCTTTACTATCAATTCCATCATTGTTTTCATTGTATTCAGAAGTTGTACTATTCCTGAGAGGATCATTTTGCTTCTCACAATTTAATTTATCTATTGAAACATGAAGAGATGTCTCTTTATTTTTTTTATCAGTTATTGTCACATTTATTGGAAGTTTTGAACTTTGTTGCGAAACACTTTCTAATTTATCCGATACATCATTATCATTTGACAATGATGTAGTTTCATTAGTTAATACTTTTGGAATGGAAATTTCAAACGTTGTATTAGCAATATTTGTTGTAGTTTCCTCAGTTTTACTAAATTTGCTGTCAATTACATTCTATAAAAATATTTATAATTGTAATAATTGTAATTTTTAATAAATTATACTAATTAATCTTTGCAAAGTTGTATTAATTCATGTTTATCTTCTAAATACAATAAAATTATAAATATAATAAGACCATAATTATATTGATTTAAATACCTTCTGTGTGTTATTAAAGGCACTGATCATGCTGTTTTTTAATATTTCTCCAAGCAATGGCTCATTGGATTCAATACCTAATTCTTCGCATAATTTATTTCTTCCAACATAATTATATTCTTTTCCAAAGTAAGTTTCTGGATCATATACAGATATTGTATAATCAAGACCAAAATATTCTAGGAACTCCCTAACCAAGGAAAACAATAATTTTCCTTCTGAATTAGACAGGTACTGTTTTACGGTTTTATTGAGAAGTGGTTCTGGATTCTGAAATATTTATATTATACTATAAAAACCTTAAATATAATTTGTAAGTTAATATTCTCTTACATTATTTTCTATACTTTACTCCTATCAATTATGATTTAAATATTAAAAAGACTGTTTCTACATACATATGTAAAAAAATTGATCTACTGCAAAATTTTAACATACCATTACAGATTCTTGTTCTTCCAAAGCTAAGAACACACTTGCCCTGAGTTCTGCCTATAATATTATAAAACATTTAAAAATCAATATTACGAAAAAAATTATAGTTTTAATGGCAGAATGTTCTTTGACGTAATCTGCATAACCTACGAAAAAGACACGATTTTTAAAAAATTTTTCTGTCATACCCGCACTTTTGCAAGAACACCATTATTTTCAAGGGTTTGCACCACCAAATCTCGTAATTCTGTATCCTCCTCCATGGAAATGTTTCCGTCTATCATGATTATAAATAAAAATTACTTTCACAAACACTCAAGAAATGTAAATATTTACGCTTTCCATCGCGTGTCTTCTTTTCACATCTGTTTACCTAGAGATTATTTTTTCTTATCTAGGGAGTTTAGAAACAAAAAAACTTTGTTTCTATCTAATTATCATTACAATATGCATTAATTATTATTTCATATACTAATATAGATAAAAATAAAATAGAATATATTATACAACAAATATTGTGCAGTAAGTAAAACGAAGTAAATTATGAATTAAATTATTAAATTTAATACTTTGTTCAAATATGTTTGAATGTATCACTATTACCAACTTGTTTTAGTTTTCAATTAAAAAAAATTAAAATTATAAAAAAATATTTTATATAATTGTAAAAATGACCTCATTATTAAAAAAAATATAAAAAAGTATTTAATGATATTCATATATGAACACATTAATTTATTTTAGAATACCGAAAATGATATAAATTGAAAATATATATAATTTAAAAATAACGAATAATCGTAGATTTAAATTTCTTATTATATTCAATCGATTTAACATTACAAAACATTAACATTTTATATGTACAATTTCTTTATTATATTTTTTTATAGTAACATTTTATCAAAATCGAAATTTGAATAACAATAAAATTCATTTGCAAGATTATTTTGATGATGTGGAACAAAATGGCAAATTCTAATATTTAACAATCTTTCTGCCAATTCATACATAATAGCACCTGTAAAATAAATATGAAATAAATATGAAAGTAAAATAGATATCAAATAATTATGAAAAATACCTGTACAGAGCACAATGTTGTTTTTGGCTAAAAATTTTATTGTAACTGCAATTTTTGTTAAACATTCATCAGAGAGAAATGGTGGATCAGCTATAACCAAATCATATGAATTTGACATATCTCTAGGTATATTTAAAGGAAATTTATAATTATATGATATGAAGTCATGTCCATATATTTTAAAACGTTCATCATATTCAAAAAGGGTGACTGTAAATAAGTAATTAACATTAATAGTAATAGTGCATATTTAATATTGAATAAATTACTAAATTACAAATAATATGTTTTTCTACCTTGTCGTTCACCACAGTTCTTTTTTAATTTACTATAAAGCGTAGGACATGATATTAGAGCAATTTTTCCATTAGATTCTGTACATTTTATAGCACCTTTTACAAGAGTATCTGTTGTGTTATCATCATACCAAAACTGACTTAATTGCTAAAATGTATATTAATAAATCATTACAAATCATTACAAAACAAAAAGTTGAACAACGAAAATTATATTTACAAAATATGTAGCAAATCATAAACTTAGAAGTAAATATTATTAGGAAAAATCATTAATGTATTTAGTAAAAACTAACTTACCCAATTTTCATCAAAAGAAACATTTAAATTTTGATTTTCTAAACTATATTTTAATTGATTTTCTTTTTCTTCCTTTTCTTTAAGGAACTCATTTAAGGCAGCAAGTGTTGTAGGACATAATGTTAAATCTTCATCATCACTTTCATACATTTTTTATTAATTTTTATATATATTTATTTTATCCACAAATGTTTTTAAATCTGATTATGCGTATATGTACATATATACACAAAAATATAACTTAACCATATATTAATCTTTTATGATTAATGTATAAAATTTATATAATTTTTGAAGTATATTTATCTATTATATAAAATTTGATAAATAAAGAATATAAATTAACTTGAGAATGTATATATTCTCTTAAGATACTTCCGAAATAATATACTTTCCGAAAGTAAAATATCTTATGTTAACATTGAATAATTTTATAACAATTAGTTATTTTTACGATTGGATAAATTTTATGAAATTTTCAAAAAACTTAGATTTTACTAACGTTTGGTCTTCGTTTTTAATAACAGAATAATGTAATATAATTGTTATTATAAATTTTATGTTTTAAACTATATTTTTTCATTAATGAAATAAATATAGTATTAATAGGTCATATAAATAATAATGTATAATCTCAGAACTTAGAAAGATGCAATAATCTTCTGTAATAAAGATTATTTGCGTTATCACATTATTGTAATAAAATCTACGCACTAATGTATAAAAACTTTTGTACACGTAGGAACTAATCTCCCGGTTTCAAAATCACATTAAATTACATATTGAAGAAAAAGAAAAATATGACAATGGAATCCAAAGACGACGTAGAATTATTTCAATCTATTGGTTTAAGTGAACAAAAAGCTAAAGAAACTCTAAAAAACAAACAGGTTTCTAATAATTTAAAACTTGTTATAATAGAGGTTAGTTAATCATTTAAACATATAAGAATAAATATTAATAAATTAATATTAATTAATAAATTTCTTTATTTATTTATATGTGAATAAAATGTAGTAATTATTACTAAATATTGTGTTATTTTATAATATCTACATTACCATATGTGTTATATTTTTAGGCTAAGAAGTATGAAATTATTACACCAGAAATTGGAACTTTATTATATCATCTTGCTTCAAAGATTAAGACTCAAATTGCGGATAAATTGCTATTTCTTGCTAAATATATAGTTGAAAAGAAATTAGACACAATTCAAAGGTTAGATACTGGTTTAAATTATTTACTTAGCCACATAAAAGAAAATGTTGATGTATCTGATTTTGAGAAAGAATGTGGAGTAGGTATTGTTATATCACCAGAAAAAATAGAATGTGAAGTTGAAAAATTGATAAATGCACATAAAATGGAAATAATAGAGAAAAGGTATATATGTTATATTTAGCATTAAAATTTAATATTTTAATAGCATTGTAAATCTTAAGTTTTATGTAATAAAACATGCTTTTGCAGATATCACTTTAATGTTGGTCCATTAATGCAACAAGTATGTAGTAGTCTAAAATGGGCAGATGGAAAAGCAGTAAAGAATGAATTTGATATTCAAATGCTTGATTTATTAGGTCCAAAAACTGATTCTGATCGTATACCATTACCTAAAGTAACCAAACAAGCAAAGCCACAAAAGACAGAGAAAAAAAAGGGTAAATAAATCTTCTTTTTTCATTTACATTTAATATTAGATAATCAAATAAACAATATTACTTTTTGAAATATAAATAAACAAGTAAAAACATTATTTACTTGATTATTTGATATTGAGGATTAATTATTTATATCAGGTTAATATTATAATTCATTATTTAAAAAGTATCTAATTATTATATAGCAGAATTAAAAACTACAATAGCAACAAACGAGAAGATAGGTGCTCAGACAATAAGTGAATTAATGAAAACTAAAGTTCACTTTCATAAACCAGGAGAAAATTATAAAACTGAAGGATATATTATAACACCAAATACACATAAATTACTTCAAGAACATTTAAAAGTAACAGGTGGCAAAGTAATAACTAGATTTCCACCAGAACCTAATGGAATTTTACATATTGGTCATGCAAAGGCAATTAATATTAATTTTGGGTATGTTCCATTTTAATATATGATTTTTAATTTTTGTAATTTAAATTGCATTTCACATAACTACTTAATTGTAGGTATGCAGCAGCTCATAATGGAATATGTTATTTACGTTATGATGATACAAATCCTGAAAAAGAAGAAGAAAAGTTTTTCATTGGTATTCATGAAATGGTAGAATGGCTTGGTTATAAACCAGCTAAAATTACTCATTCTTCTGATTATTTTCAACAATTGTATGAATGGGCGATTGTACTTATTAAGAAGGATTTAGCATATGTTTGTCATCAGTCTAGTGAAGAAATAAAAGGTTTTAATCCACCACCAAGTCCTTGGCGTAACAGACCGGTTTCAGAGAGTTTACAATTATTTAATGTAATTACTATCTTTTTCAAACGAATTCTTAGAATTTACAATGTTTAGTTATTTAGAAATTCTAAATTATATCATAAATAATTTTAATTGATCTTTTAATTTTCTATGTAGGATATGAAAGATGGATTACTTGAAGAAGGTGAAGCTACATTACGAATGAAAGTAACATTAGAAGAAGGGAAACAAGATCCAGTTGCATATAGAATAAAATACAGTCCACATCACAAAACAGGATATCAATGGTGTATTTATCCAACTTATGATTTTACGCATTGTTTATGTGACAGTTTAGAAAACATAACTCACTCTCTTTGTACCAAAGAATTTCAGTCAAGAAGATCGTCATATTATTGGCTTTGTAATGCTTTAGACATTTATTGCCCTGTACAATGGGAATATGGTAGATTAAATGTGAGCTACACAGTTGTTTCTAAAAGAAAAATCAGTAAATTGATTGAAGAAGGCATTGTATCTGATTGGGATGATCCTAGGTATATTTTAATATTCAATAAATATAAAAGTTCATTACATTAATATTTGAAGATATAAACTTTTAAACAGATATTTATTATAATAAACAATAAATAATATATATATTTTAAACAATAAATAATATATATATATTTTTTTTTTAGATTATTCACATTAACTGCTCTTCATAGACGAGGTTTTCCATCTGAAGCTATAAACAATTTTTGTGCACAAATGGGTGTAACTGGTGCTCAAGCTGTTGTTGATCCAGCTGTTTTAGAGGCATGTGTTAGAGTTGTTTTAAATTTAACCGCAAATCGACATATGGTAGTTTTAGAACCACTAAAAATAACTATTAGCAATTTTCCTCATGAAAATCCTATAAAAGTAACAGTTCCTAATTTGCCTAATGAACCAGACAAAGGGCAACATGACATTATCTTTGATGAAATTGTATATATTGAAGCATCTGACTTTAAAGAGGTATATAAATGTGTTCTAATTTAATAATATATTGTAGCAAATGTTTGTTATCATTGTATTGAAAATGTTATTACACATCCATAGAAAGCAGGAAAAGATTTTAGACGTTTAACACCAAACCAGTCTGTTGGTTTAAAACATGTAGGAATAGTATTAACAATTAAAGAAGTCAAAAGAGATAGCATCGGGAATATTATAAATCTGCTTGTTAGACAAGAATCTATTTCAGAAACTAATAAACCTAAAGCTTTTATACATTGGGTATCAAATCCTGTATTGGCATCTATTAGATTATATGAGCGATTGTAAGTATTAGATTGATGTAATAATTTATTATTGTTGATATAATAGCTACAATAATTTTTAATTTTCTTATAATATAAATTTTAGATTTAAACATAAAAATCCTGAAGATTCTAATGAGGTACCAAATGGTTTCTTAAGTGATATTAATCCAGTTAGTAAAAAAGAAATTGTTGGATATATTGATGCAAGCTTGGCAAATTCAGCAAAAACTTTTGATAAATTTCAATTTGAACGTATTGGCTTTTTCTCTGTAGATCCTGATACAACACCAGGAAAGGTAATTAAAATAAAATGTAAATAATAATATTATTATTAATTTTTTTCTTCTTTTACAGCTAGTTTTTAACAGAACGGTAACGTTAAAAGAAGATGCAGGGAAAGTGTAAATAAAGTGTAAATATTTAAATTACATTACATATAATAATTCAATTTATTAATTTCTTCCATGTTTTATAATATTTTGTATAATATTTATAGATAACAACTATTTTTAAAATAATACGTTTTTTATGCTTCTAGAATTTTAGAATTATTGGATAATTAATGAACAATAAATACACAGCACTTAATTCATCATACAAGATTCATAAGTAGGAACCATATATTTAATATTTATAAAAGCATCTTCACCTCCATATATTTCAAGTAACTCAAGAGTTTCTTGAATTATATCTGCAACATTTTCACCTTTTTGCTGTGAGTAGTCAATACCTTCTCCAAGGTTTACTGGAATATAAAGTGTAATACAAAAAATTTGTATATAAAATTATAAAAGTAAATTAAGATCTTACCATTTTTATCTTTTAATAAATTAAGAACTGGTAAGATTTGTCTAAAATATGGTACTAGAGCTTCTCCAACACAATCTGCTGAGCGTACAAGATTTTGAAGAACTTTCAGTGTTGTACATATGATTTCTGGCATTTTTGTATTTAAAGCTTCTATAACAAACAAAAATTTTTATGAAATGATACAAATTTTCAGTTTATAAGATTATGTAAAATTAAGGACAGAAAGTTACTTTTAATAGGAATTATTAATTGTGGCACAACAGGTAAAATTTTAGGTCCACCGTGTTCTAACATATCAGATATTCCTTGTTCTACTATAAACTTAATTGGTTGTTCAGTTTCTGTTAAGCCATCAAAAAATAGCGGCAAATAATGGTGAAAATCTAAATCTTCAATTTTAACTTTCCAACTAAGTTTTGTGCCATACTTATCCTTTTCTAATGCAACTGGAAATACACCCCATTCATAAAATTTCCGAAATGTTGATGGTTTAGGTGGTTGAGGTTTGTATAATTCATATCGAGGAGGTTTTTCAACTACAGTGTTTTCCTATATATATATATGTTATAAACAAATGTCAGTTCACATAACTTTTAATATAACTTTTGCAATACTAAAGCATTACCTGTAAAGCTTGAATGGTAAAAGCAGGAACAACTCTGGGTTTTCCTTTTTTATACTGTGGTATATCTTTTCGAATTTCATTCCAAAATTTAGTTTCGTTTACCATTTCGATATTCTTTTTTCGTATTAATATCTAATCGTACGAAAATTTGTGAAGTATTGTAGAGTATGTTACACAATTTTATTCATTGAAAAGTTACCAAAATTCTATTGTGAAGACGAGTATGGTATATAATATTGCTGATTCGTTCCAAATACACATATCGTATTACCGTAATTTGGTATACAACAAATATGGATCAAACACGTGTTTCTTAGCAACTATAAACAATTTATTTAATGAACTATAATAACATACATATCAGTTTAAAAGTATATTTTTATCTTAAAACATAAATAAGTTTTAATTAAAGTAAACTACGAAATATAAAAATGTTAAAGTTCCATTGATATATATCTTTTCATTTATATACATTAAATATTTTACTATAAATACATAACAGTTAATTTACAACTTTGTCATAGTTTTTGTAACTTTATTAAATCGTGGATCATCAAATATCAAATCTCTCTTTTTGGGCTCATCTTTATCAGCTGTATTTTATTCATAAGGAAAATAATATATTAAAAATGCAATTAATATTTAAAATTAAAGATGGATTAATATCTTTAAATTTGAAGAAATAAGTTTGAAAAGGATATTTGTGAAGTAATTTGAAAATTCCTGTGCCTACAGGAACTGGAATACCCATTATAATTGATTCAGATACACCACAAATAACATCTTTTTGTCCATAATAAGCTGCATCAAATAAATGATCAGCTGTTTTCTCAAACTGTAATTAATCATTTATTAGTTTTTTTTTATTTAAACATAATGTACTTTCATATGATAATTTAATTTAGATATAACATAACAAAAAACATCAAGTTTTACCGAAGCCAAATTTAAAACAGATTCTTTCATCTTAGCTAACCCTTGTCTTGTAATACCCAGTACTTCTCCCCTACTAGTCATTAAATCTGCTACAAGCATTGGATGTCTTCGATCAATACTCATTCCATGATTTTCCATCACTAATTTTATTTCTGTCATTATAGTTGCTCTTGCAGCTTCAATTCCTAAAGTTTTAAAAACCTTAAAAAAAAATATATATATATATTTTTAATACAAGTACTTTTGGTTTAATTATACATGTACCTCAATAGTATTGTTTGAAGTTGTTTTTTTGCCTAAAACGCCAAGAGTTGCCATTACATCTCTCATATTGTCTCCTTCTACAAATAATTTATATTTAGTTTTGCCACTTGAATCATCATTATGAATTACAGCTCTAGAAATTGATGGTAACCCCTGTAAATTGTATAAACGTAAAAGTTGGCACATAATGCCTTAGAATTGAAAGTATATTTATGTTATGTATATTCTATTTACCTTTACAACAATATTTGGAATTGTTTCTTTAAGTTGTGTGAGAGCATAATTTATACTATATTTATTTTTGCTGGGATTCACAGTGATAATAGAATGTCCTCTAACATTTACTAATTTTGGATTTAGTCTTAATTTTGATGTACAAATTCTACAAAAATTATATTATGATTAAATTAAACGTGTATTTTATGAAAATTTGTATTAGCAAATATTTCTTTATATTATAAAAATATAAATTCATACACTTACGAATAATGTATAGAGTTCACGTCTACTTCTAATTTTAATAACTTTATTCTATCAATATTTAACTTGATCAATAAGAAACAATCATCTGGTAGATAAACTTCTTCAATATATTCTGTCACTTGTCCTAAGGTAGTTTTCTCAATTCTGCCTTTTACTCTTCTAGCATATTCCGGATCCATGTCATTTTCCTAATATCAAAATGGAGCAAGAAGAATATGTTCTTTCTTTTATATATGTAGAATTTTCAGTACATTAAACCTTAATTACAGAACTTACTAAAGCTGCTGTGATGATTGGAGTGCTAATTTTAGGATTTGCATTAATAATTTCTTTGATACGCGGTACACCTTGAGTGATATTCATAGACGCTACACCGGCAAAATGAAATGTTTTCAATGTCATTTGTGTACCTGGTTCTCCAATACTCTGAGCAGCAAGTGCACCTACAGCAGTACCTGGTTCTATCTTTGCTCTCATATATTTTTCTTTACAGGTATGAATAAATTCAACTAATTGAGAAACTGTGAGTCGTTCCAGTTGTAAAATTACAGATACATTTAATGGAGCATTATGTCGAAGGCGCGCTATTTTACGTGCTACGGTTTTAAGGAATGTGCTATAAAAGTAAGAAATTTGTAATAATTTATTTTTAGTAGTATTTAATTATAATTGTTTGATGTATATAAACACTATACTTACCATAATTCTTGTTTAAATTCTTCACTGAGACATTCATATTCTTCAGAATTTAGTAATTCATTTGTAGCTTTAATTACACTAGGACCATCTAGTGGTTCTTCATTTTTACATGGCGATTTAGCTCTTACATGATCTAACACTCTCTTGTAATCCACTGGGCAGTCTTTTCCTATTAAAATAATAATTTGATTATTTTTTTATTAATGGTAAGTAACAATATCTTACCTTCCATATATGTAGGATCTAGAGCATCACCACCATACAATATTTGTACAATATCTCCTACTGAATTACGAACCGTCATATCGTAATGAAGGCACAGATCTTCTAAACTCTTAACTAATCGTCGCTGCATATAACCAGTTTCTGCAGTTTTAACTGCTGTATCTACAAGACCTTCTCTTCCACCCATAGTATGAAAAAAGAATTCTGTTGGTGTTAAACCAGAATAAAATGAGTTTTCCACAAAACCCTTTGCTGCAGGGAGCTTTGAATGTCGTTCAAAATGCGGCAAAGTTCTGTCTTCAAATCCATTTGGAACTCTATGACCGTTGATAGCTTGTTGCCCCACACATGCTAATTAGAGTGAAAATATCAAATAATAAATTATAAAAAATACAATTAAATAAAAAATGTTCTTTATATATGTATCGAATGTCTTTAAAAGTTGGTGTTTAACTTTTGGAGTATCTAGTATTCATTAAAATAAACAAAAAATTTTAATAAATATGGATCCAAATATTACTAGTTTTGAAGTTGTAAGACGTTTTGTCCTACATGCTTTTAACGATATCAATTCATATTATATATTCATATCAATATGTATATTTATAGTATTAAACATACCAATCATTTGAGAAATATTAATAAAACTTCCTTTACTGCCAGATAATGCCATAATTAATGGACTGTTACTTGGATGTAATTCTTTCAAACACGCTTTACCAGCATGGTCACGAATTACTGAAAGTTCTTTTAATATCATTGCTTCTAATGTTTCTTCTTCTGTGCAACCAGGTTGACACACAAGACGTCCTTCTTCCATTTGCTGAATGTATTCTGTACACTTACAATACCTAAATTAGAGTAAATTATAGTAAATCTTTGTTATTCCTAGATATTTTCATTCATTTATATTTATATTTACCCTGCATTTAAAAGTTCGTCTTTTGCTTTAAGAAGTCCTTGACCAGGTGTGACGTCGCCAATACCAATAGAAAAACCCCTATTCATAAGAAAGAAACTTGCCATTCTTGCTAGCCGCCACATAGCTATCGTTGCAATATCTTCACCCCAATCGCGTAATAAAATATAAAATATATTTTGTTTTGCACCTGAACCTAAAGTCGATTTGTCCATAGATCCTGCTAATAATTCTGAGTTCCGTATAATTACATCTGTAAGTTATTATTTTAATTATTTTCTTGTTGTATAAAAGTATAAAGAAACAAATTATACATACAGGAATCATTAATGCATAATTCTTCATTAGTTGTATAAGCTCTTCCTTTGGTTTTCAAATTGGCTTTAATATTACAAGTATTATTAGGTTTTAAAATTAAACTGAAAATTTGTTTTCCTGTCCATAATACAGATGGTTTTAAGATAGCTGGTTGAGGAAGATTTATAGACATAGCTATATCAGGTCCTGCTAGGAGACAACCGGCTAATTGACTTGCTTGAGATCTATTTAAGAACATATCCTTCTGAGTCAGAAGATATCCACCAGTAATAAAATCCTGTGTTGCAGCTATTAATAATTCTCCATTGCGAGGTGTAACTAAATTTGATTTATTCTAAAAAGAAGTAAATAAAAATGTAAAACTACATTATAAATTATAAGTTAATATAATACAATAAACTTAACATTAAATAATTTGGATATTACCCCCATTAAGACTAAAGCTTCTGCTCTTGCTTCTTCAGTTTGAGGTAAATGTAAATTCATTTCATCACCATCAAAATCAGCATTATAAGGAGTACAAACACATTCATTAAATCTAAATGTTCTATGATCTAATACTTTTGCTTTATGTGCCATGATACTTAATTTATGTAAAGATGGTTGCCTATTGAATAATACTACATCATCATCTCTCAAATGCCTTTCAACAATATCACCATACTATTGAATAAAAACAATATATATACATATATACATATATATATACTTATTTATTCTAAATATATAAAATATATAAATAAAAAATAAAGACATATAATATATTTGCATAAAAACTTACTTGCTCAATTCTAAGATTAGGATCTGGTGAAATAACTGTACGACTAGAGAAATCTACACGTTTACCGGATAAGTTACCACGAAAACGACCTTGTTTTCCTTTTAATCTTTGAACTAATCCTCTCCCAGCTTTTTTTGGCTAAAATATTTTGGTAATTTATTAGTAGTATCAAGTCAAACAAAAAATTATACAATTTCTTATTATGAACTTACTTGCATATTTAGAGGTATGCCAGACATTTCACTATTTATATAAAGGGCACAATGCAATTGTAGAAATTCCCAATCCTCATTGTACATTTGTACTTTTGCTCCACTTTGTCTGTGTTTCTGAATAACATCATTGATAAATACTATTTCAGATAATTTCATTGTTAAATGATCTTCTGTTGTACCAGCTTTTATATCAGAAACTACACTAGGTCTAATACAGATTGGTGGTACAGGAATTCTTGTTAATATTAGATCTTTTGGTAATGCACACTCTGAATTCATCATTAAGAGAGGAATGTCATTTTCTGGTATTTTTTCCAAAATGCTTTGTACCTAAAATTATGTTATTTTTATAATATTGGGTTTGTATTATTATTTATATTATAAATAACTTTTATCTTTCACCTCTAGGGGATTTAATACATTTACTAATCCACTTTGAAGCATTCCTTCTAATGCTTTATTATCTTCCAGCACACTGTTATATTCAGCCAATTTCTGTTGAACAATGGCATCTATTTTCTTTTTTGCCTTATATTTTTCATGAACTATTTTAAGTAAACCAGCTTTTTTAACAGTTCCATTAAGATCTCCACAATTTTGACAAATTGTAGTTTTCTTAGCTTTATCCAAAATTTGTTTACGTAGTGCTTTACGTGTTAAGTATCCCATATTAGGATTTAATACCCTGGTTAAATAACGTTTTTTATCCATTTCAGACAACATAACATGAGAACAATTCTATAAATTAAGATATTATAATTATTATTGTGAATAATGTATTATCTTATTTAAAATTAAATGAAATAAATTATAAAGTACTTTGCAAATAGTTTGGAGAATACCAATAATAGATCTAAAATAACCAACATGAAAAACTGGTAATTCTAAATCAATATAGCCAAAGTGTCCAATACATTCATTTAATGTTTTACCACATGATGCGCAATTAGTAGTATTATTACAAGTTCCCTAAAAATTTATATTCAAAATTATTTAAGAAATAAATATTAATACGTAACATATGAAAAAGATCCTTCTATTGTAATTACCATTCTCCTATCAAGAACTCCATATGGAACTGGAGTATGTTCAACATCTTGATTATATAGATTTTTAGCCACAACATGCATATGCGCCTGCCTTTCCATGTTGTGGCGACTATCCACTCCAAATGATACATGAGAGCTAATCAATTGAAAAAAATATAAATAAGGTACATAAAAATAATACATATTAATTAAATATATTAAGACTTAATATCACTTTTATCTTTTGTAATAAATAAAGTATTAAAGATACATGTTTTAATAGAAAGTTCAATCAAAGTTACATTATGAAATTTATATTTTGTTCTATACTTTTTGTAATACACTTAATACTAAAAATCGTAAAAATATCAATACAAAATTTACTTTAAAATGATTTAAAATAATATACGTACATTTTGCGAGCTACGTCGGTTTCTCTGAATTGTTCCTTTACCATCGTGGAGGTTATATTTTATTCTCTGACGTTTAATATATTATTTAGATAAACTTATTTATAAATATTGTACAGTGTAAAGTCAATAAATTTTAAGCTATTGAAAGATATACACCATTTTTTTACATAAATTATTTAAACATTCAAAAGAATTCGGAGAATTCTTGAAACACGTGTTGTTCTCTTTTCGTGCTGCCATCTCGAATTTGACAGTTTTGTATATATTTCACATTATTGTCAGTTAAACTACCGGCTTATATGATGATTTGGTGCAAGATTTCTTTATGATAATTTAATATTAATTCATTCATATTTCTTGTATTAAATTAAATTTTAGTCTGTATTATATCTTATCTAAAATAGAAATTATATATAATTTCAGTTTCATTACTACTGATTCAGTATTAGAAGTCAAACTTGCATGTATATGACAATATGTATTAATGCATCGATACATAAAAACGGGTATTGTGAAAACGCGTGTTGATTGCGTTGTATACAATGAAATAGAATATCTTTTATTACACATATCTATTTATCTTAGTTGCATAAAATATTATTTAATAAGTTTAAATATTGCATCTTCATCAAATTCGAATACGTCTGAAACATGCCAAGGGTAAGTTTTGAAGTTCTCGATTAAACATTAACGATCGAGGTTAGGAATGTGTGTTTTATTTGTATATATTTTAAAACTGTTTGTCAAAAATCAAATTAGAATCTTATAGTTGAATTGTTGTTTATTTTTTTCTAGGACATACGAAGCTATTTTCAAACTGTGAAAACAAATTCTAGCGGTGCGCCAGCGAAAGCTACAAAAAGACGAATTATTTCTTCTGATGAGGAAGATGAAAAATTACAATCTCCACTTAAGCAATCCAAGGTATTAATATATTTGTTTATTATATATACTATAAATAATATTATAAATAATATATATAATAAATTGGTTGCTTCAGTTATAAATAATATATATTGTAATAAGAATTTAACTCCTTAAGTTTCAAATCTTATTCCTTATTTTTGAAGAATCATGAAAAATTACAATCTCATATGATACTAGTTTTAATAATCATACTAAAATATATTCTATTTTAGAAAACAAAAATATTGAAAAAGAAAATTATTGGATCTGATTCTGATGAAGATGTTAAACCAAAAAAGATTGTTTCTCCTCTTGATATGTTTGGTAAAACTCCAATAATTAGACAAGAAGCACCTAAGATTTCAAAAAAATTACAACAAGAGGTAATATAATATCTTAATAATATTATAATGTAATAATTAATTTTATTAAATGTTACAGGAAGCAAGAGGTCATAATGATAATGATTTTGAAGCTACTTTAAGTCAGTTAGATACATCTGATATTGAACAGAAGTATTTAACAGAAACTAAAATTAACGAAGGTAATAATATGAATAAGTTATAATAAATACCATGTTAAATTATTGTAGTGATATATTCATTTTTAATGTTTATAGATTCTAATTTGCATGAAAATAATTACGAGAATAAGAAGAAAACTCCTATTAAGAATGAAGCGAATGTTAAAAAGAGAAAAATAATTGATAAAGCAAGTCCAGAAAAAGGTAGTAAAAAGTATGAATCAAAAAATAAAAAACATTCTAGTAATAGTTCAAATGAAGACATTGAGGGACATAAAGGTCCTGAACACAGTAGTAAATTCAAAGATACAAAAAAATCTTCTAAAACTTCATTGGGTATTTCTGAAATGGAAGTGAAACATAAAGGAAAGAAAAAAATGTCTCCGAAAAAGATAGAAGCTTCTGATATATATGAGGAAAAAGTAGAAAAGAAAAAACAAAGAGCTACAATGTATCAACAATATCTTCAAAGAGGTGGAGCTAGAAATCCGGGTTCAAAAGAAATTCCTGTTGTATGTAATAAATGCAAATTGTATATCTGAAAAGCACAAATGATTGATTGGTATGAAATTTGGGGAAAGGAAATAATGAGGAGTTTATAAGTCCAAAATATACAAATTTAGTTTCATGCATTTATTAGTTTCTAATTAATAAATTAATCATTATCATTAAGTATCTAGATAACTGCCGTTAGTTTGCTATGTAAATTATTGAAAGATCTCACAAATGCACATATATAGATAGAATTTCATATATAATACCAAATATTTTTCATTAATATCTCAAAAACTAATAAATACTCGAAGTTAAAATGATATATTTTGAGTTTAATCACTTTCTCTTTATCAATACTTTCAAATATTATGCCGATCGGCCATTAATATTTTTTGAAAAATATTTTAAATGAAGAATATTGTTTAAAAAGAAAAATTTTTTTTTTATTCATAAGTATGTATCTTAAAAAGTATATTAAAATTTTAGGGTGCTGAGTATTGCTTAGCAGGATTAAGTTTTGTGTTAACTGGTGTTTTGGATTCTTTGGAAAAGGAGGAAGCTGAAGAGCTTATCAAAAAGTATGGTGGACGTATTTTACATCAAGTTTCAAAGAAGACTGATTATATTGTAGTGGGTGACCAACCTGGTCCTGCAAAACTGTCAAAAGTAATATTAACTATATATTTGAATTTTATTCAAATTTGTTATATTATACAAATACAAATATTTTTTTAATTATTTAAAATACATGTTTAGGCTAATAATTTAAATATAAAAAAGATATCAGAAGATGATTTGCTAGAGTTTATACGTACAAGACCTGCAGGTCAAATTGATAATGTAAAGCAACCTCGTACAAAATCCAAAGAGAGATCGAAGCAAGAATCTGTAGAGTCAGAAACATCACCATCATCATCAAAGAAAATAAGAGTTACTGTAACTGAAGAAACAAAAAAAATACACTCACCACAGAAAAAAGAATATAGTAATAAAGAGACAGAAAGATTATTGAAAGTATCACCTCATAAACAAGAACTTAATAATAAAGATATTGAAATGAAGACTCCAATTAAAAAGAAATATATTGAACATAAAGAATTGGTCATAGAGAAAAGAGAACAAGTAAATGATGTAAAAGATATAAAAATACAATCGAATACTTTACAGAATGTAAGAAATAGTTAAATTTAACATAAATAATATTAATTTTATATTATAGTACTTAATTTCTTTTTTAGATAAATGGAAATATATCAATACAGGCATTGGTTGAAAAATATAGACCAAAAACAATGAAACAAATTTTAGGACAACAAGGAGACAAAAGTAGTGGTAAAAAATTGTATAATTGGTTGTTGAACTGGCATAAAAATCAAAGTGGTAAAGTGAAAACTACGAAACCTAGTAAGTTTCTTATTTTCTATGTATCAAATATTTCTTGTATATGTTTTATTTAATTAAACTTTTATTAATTTGATTTCTCTTAGGTCCATGGGCAAAAAATGATGATGGAGCATTTTTCAAAGCTGCTTTGTTATCTGGTCCTCCTGGAATTGGAAAAACTACAACTGTTCAAGTTATTTGTAATGAATTAGGTTTTGACCTTATAGAATTTAATGCATCAGATACTAGGAGTAAAAGACTTCTACAAGAGGAAGTATCAGAACTCTTATCTAATACCACATTAAAAAATTATGTACAAGGTATATTCATAAATTTGTTTCCTGAATATGTATTTTTAAAATATTTATTTTCTATTTGTTAATAATTTTTATTAACGTGTTTTACTAATTATGCCAATGAAAAAATATAAATGCATAAATGTTTTATTCCAAATAGTAGTTGTCTAAAATTTTACATTAAGAAATAAATAATTAAACAGGCAATTTTCATTATATAAGTTATAGGAAATTTAATTAATTAATTTAATCTTCAGTGATTAATTATCTGTGATGTCTTTAAACAGAGATCTCTGAAGTAATGTCACTTACCTCTTTATATTATTGGTATTCATATTTTAGAATTATTCTTGTAGATCATATCTTTGTGAGTATAATTAATATAACATGTTAATAAAATTTTATTAAATACATTAAAAAATATTATAAAGTCATTAAAATTACATTGATATTTAAAAAAAATTTAATATATTATAGATATTAAAAGTAAACCATCATTAAAACACGTTTTGTTGATGGATGAAGTGGATGGAATGGCTGGTAATGAAGATCGTGGAGGTCTACAAGAATTAATTAATTTAATCAAATCAACTGATATACCTATTGTTTGTATCTGCAATGATCGAAATAATCCGAAGATGAGGACTCTCGCTAATTATATATTTGATCTCCGATTTCCAAAACCTAAATTGGAACAGATTAGGGTAAAGTCATACAGAATTTGAAAAGATATATATTTGTTCGTTTTCCATATTTTATGTATTTAATATAACTTTTTATGTAGGGTGCAATGAAATCTATATGTTTCAAAGAAAATATTAATATTTCAACTGAAGATCTCGATCATCTAATTGAATCAACTAATCAGGATATTCGACAAGTTATAAATCATTTAGCATTATTTGCTGGACAGTCTGTTTCTCAAGAAAAATCTGAAAAGAAACACATAAACAAGGATTTAAAATTAGGTCCTTGGGATGTAATAAGAAAAGTATTTTCCTCAGAAGAACATAAGCATATGAGTATTCATGATAAGAGCGATTTATTCTTCCATGATTACAATATAGCACCATTATTTGTACAAGAGAACTATTTGCTGGTTATACCTCAAGTGCCAAAGTACGTATCAAATAAAATAATGTATTTATTCTTTCCTTATTTATGCAGGCCAAGTGAGTTACACAATTAGAATAAATTAAGTATTTTACATAAATATAATATTGGAAATATTAGGAAAGATCAATTACATTGTAAAAAAAATTAAATTTATTTTATAATTTTTATTTATAGAATATTTTTAAAAATCAATGTTAAGTATATGGCTTCTTGTACATATATACTTATTTTAATATTATTTGCATTTAATGTTACTATTAATTTTTTTATATAGAGATAAATTGCTAGAAAGAGTAGCAGAAAGTGCTGAGAGTTTAGCACTGGGAGATGTAGTTGAAAAGTCTATAAGAAGTAATAATGCTTGGTCACTTTTACCAGTACAAGCTTGTTATTCTTCTGTTATACCTGGAACCGCAATGTCAGGTCACATTGGTGGTCAGATTAATTTTCCAACTTGGCTTGGACGTAATTCAAGATCTGGTAAATTTGATCGGTAATATCATAATTTTTAGTTTTAGTTATTACTTTTTCTATATTTTACTTATGAGATTTTTAATGATATGATTTATAGTTTAACGCAGGAAATCACTGTACACGCACGTTTGGCTACTGGTGCAAGTAAAGAAGCTATAAATTTGGATTATATTAAACCTCTCAGAAATGCTGTTATCAGACCCTTAGCAGTTGGTGGTATTGAAAATGTAGATGCAGCAATAGATGTTATGAATCATTATCATTTACTCAGGTTAATATTTCATTAATATTTGTTATTTAAAAATAGTAGCTTTATAGTACTAATTTTTATTATTAAATTATTACTTTTGTTTTAAAAGGGAAGACTTAGATTCCTTGATAGAAATTTCTTTATGGCCTGGTGATCGAGATCCAATGCAAGTTGTAGACAGTAAGGTAAGTCTTAGATAACTTTTAATTATTGTGACATATTCAAATGTAAATATATAACATAAAGCATAATAAAAATTTATCATAAAGGTGAAAGCTGCTTTTACTCGTGCTTATAATAAGAATTCCATAGTTGTACCGTATATAGTGAGTGGTATATCAAAGAAAAAAGCAGCTTCAAATATTCAAGATGAAGGTTTCTTAGAACCCGAGGATGAAGAAGATGATTCAGATCAAAATAATGATAACGTTGATACAGATAAAATGATTAAGGTTAATTAACATTTTACATTATTGAAATTACACATTTTCAAATACAGTATTATTTATTTTAATATATGTTTAGGCAAAGAAACCTAGTATGAGTAAAAATATTGAATCAAAGAGAAAAAGTAAAACTGATAAAACCAATAAAATTGAAATGAAAAGCAAAAGTAGTAGTGATAAGCCTAGTAAACATGGACGAGGACGGGGAAGAACAAAATAATACAAATATTGTAAAAGTGAAATGTGATTTCTATTTGGAAAAAAGTAAGAATTTATTATTTTAGAATGTACTTATTTATTATTGAATTTGTACCACCTATATATTTTTCTTGTTTATTGTGTAAAACATGATGTCATAAATCATTTCTTGATGTATCTCTCTGTTAAAATGAATAAGTGTTTAGGTTTCTTGACGTAGTGTTATTCAAAATAATGTGGTTTTTACTCGTTTGCTTCAGTTGTTTCAACAGTGACGAGTTCTGATCTGGTTTGTACACATTCTAACAAATGAAATTTTATAAGTTAGTATGTGATTTACTATGATTATTGAGATAAAATATTATACACTTTTATATTGCGTAATTGTTTAATTATACATATGTACACGCGCGCGCGCGCGCGCACACACACACACACACATGTGAATTGTATTCTACTGTAAAAATAGCTGTAAAAATACATACGTCTTGTTCGAGGTTTCCATCCAATATATTCATTAGTTTTCTTATTTTCTTCTCTGAGCCAATCAGTTAATGGCTTAAAGTACTCTAACAGCCCAGTAGAGTTCATGTTTCTTTGGCCTGTAATTTTTTCCATTGCATCTTGCCAAGGTTTAGAAGAACCTAGCTCCAACATAGATCTATATTACGTAAATAAATTTTTCTGAATTTTAATAGTCATTTATGATAAATGAGTTTTAGATATGAAAAAGTGGAAACTTACTTTAATAAGTTTCCTGCTGCTTTATTGTTATAAATATCACATTGATGAAGTGGCTTTGAATTTGGATTTTGTGGATCATATTGTTTTGCTTCTGTACACAGTGCTTTGTGGAATTGGAATTGTATTATAAAGCTTACGTAATATCTAATATATTCAACATTTGCTACTATATGATATTTTGCGCCAGGATCAAAGTCATCTTCTGATCGATCTACTGGCGGTTCAATACCTTGAAAAGCTTCGACGAGATCCCACCTATTATTATTAAATATTAATTAAACATGTAAAGATTAAAACTTATAGAGATTACACATTTACTATAAAAACCATTATCCAAGTTAAGAAGAACAAATTTTTTAATTACATTTATATTTAATTAATTTAAACATACTTAAATTATTTTAGTTAATATACTTTGCAATTGTTTGTTTCTTTTTGTAATTATAAATATTATCATTATGTTATTTAACATAATTTAGAAATGATACTAACCAGTTACAATTATAATTATCTGGTGTAACTTGTCCCTGGAATACGTTCCAGCGCCATTTATCCACCATGTATGCAAATGGTAGGAAAACGATTTTGTCAAGACCTTTCAAGTATAGATGATTAATATTGGCCTCCATGTCAGTTGAATCATCATCTAATAATCTAAAATATATCCATTTTACTTGCATATATAATGTTTAAAATAAAATAAAATTGAATTTGATTAAATATCGTTATATACTTAAATTAAAAAAGTAACGTTATCTAAAGTAATTCAGTACTTGTGATTTATAATCGCAAAATGTTTATAAATTTATGTAATTGATGTTAAAACTTTGTTAAATTGAATACTATAATTTTAAGAATTGGGAAATTTATAACTGTTTTTCACGAATAGTTATTAAGAATTATATTTTTTCGTGAAAGTATATCAGAATAATTGTAAATTCATAGCTATATTTGTTATTGAATGAAATGAATTTTTATGTAAATCGATTTCTAAATTCTGTATTTAAATTACGTATTTAAATACAGAATTTAGAAATCGTGAAAAGAGAAAAAAAAAAGTTGCTAATAATATAATAAAATAAATCTAATACTTTTATTATGTACCATTGAAAGAAATTATAATTATAAATTCATAGTGGTATCAATAATTTACTAAAATCGTGTAATATTTTACCTTATCATTTCTCTCAGATTCATTTACAATAAATAAATAAATATAACTATTTATATTAAAACTTAAAGCATATTCAGTAAAATCTTGTAAACTCTACATGATTAATATTTCACTTACTTAATGGTTTTCAGGTGGCTCGGCGTGGATGCACTAAGGGCTATGACATCACCGACAGCTTCATGAAATCCAGGATTTGCACCTTCCTTAAAAACAGTGGGCTGATTCTTGTATTGCAGATAATATTCCACGTGACCCATTTCATGATGTACGGTTAACAGATCTTCCATGTTGACCCTGGTGCATTGTTTAATTCTAAAGTCTTTGCCGTCATAGAAGTCCCAGGCGCTCGCGTGACAAATTAGTTCGCGATCCATTGGTTTTTCCAATATCGATCTCTCCCAGAACAGATCTGGCATCGCGGTGAGATTGATCGAGGTAAAGAAATCCTCGGCAACGCGGAATATAGTTGTTGCATTGTATCCTAAGGAAAGAATTGTGAAAATTTATCAAGTAAGTTAATCATAAGTTTTGCAACTTCTAAATTTGGTACATTGCTTAATATAATGGGAAAATAATGTAGTAAAGAGTTAATGTTATAGTAAGAACAAAAAGTACATCTTAGATTTACTAACGTAAAATTTCTATAAAGCATGAAACGAATAATGAATTTCAAGTGTATGTAAATGTGCTACATTTTATACTATAGTTCTGTATTTTACCATAAGTCGTTATACTAATATTTTACCATCATTTTGATGAAGTACACTTTGTGACATATTTTAACACTCTATAATCGTTATCGTTCTATTTTCTACATTATGCATTGTCATATTAATATTCGTTTTATATTCTGTATGTTGCCAACACTTTGGGATTTTTAAAACTTTACTTATTTTATTTATATGTAACAATAAGTAACATTATAATATCTTTACAAAATTACAAAATGGATTTTTTAAAATATGATTATCTTCTTCTAAAAAAAATTTGTTCAATTACAGTAAGAAAATCTTGTACCGAAACATAAAATACTTAAGTCAGTATATATAGTACACAATTAAATATACTTATATATACTAATATATCCTGAAGCAAATTGGTTTGTACATTTATATATTAATATGAAATTAAAGATTATAGAGTGTGAACTTCGCAATTTTTATTCCTAATCTATTTTACAGCATAAATTTGCGTTACGCGCCTTATATGTCGTCAATTTATATGTAAATGCTAATCAAACCTTGCTTAATCATGGCACCAGTAACATCTGGCAGTTGTTTTCCCGGATATGGAATTGTAAAATCTGCGATGTTGCTCCAACTTTGTGCCCACATATTGCCCAATAGGTGTGCTGGGATGGGACCATCCTTTGAAACGATGTTCTCACCATATTTTTTTCGAAGTTCACGGCGAACGTATGCGTGCAATTGTAAATAGAGAGGTTTCAGTTGCTGCCATAGTGCCTCTAAAATTTATAGATCGATATTGAGTTTTAGTCATTTTTATTATTTTTCTATTTATTCCGATTTATTTACTTTGTTAAATGCTACATTATTGCTAAACAAGTTTTCAAATATTTCAATTGATCTTTTTAATACTGTTTCAAATTATACGATCAAATATTATATATTATAATTAAAAAGTTCAAAGGGATCTGTATACTCTGATAAAAAAACAAAATAATAAAAGACTAATTATTACATTATGTCTTTTCCGTGATATCAAATAACACTTGTTTGAAACATTTTTCCATATAACTAAGAATTTACAAACAATTTTAAGTGAAAAAGATAAATAATTTGTCTTATATAAGACATTTTATGTATGTCTTAATGCAAAAATATACAGTCAGTATAACAAGAAATATTACTATAAAAATTAAATAAAACGCAAAATTTTTATAATTTTATTAAAATAAAATAAAAATGCAATGATTTTTTAATGTTTAATTTACCAATTTGCTCAGGGAAGTCATCAGCCTCGTAATCTTTCATCCAATAAGCCGCGTTATCGGAATAATTATTTAACGTGGCAGCCATGTTACTCAGTTCAACATATTTCGTATATAAAGATTTCATTTTTTCACCAGTTGCTTTCCTCCATTGGGACCAGATGTATTTCAGTTCTTCAGGATCACGGCTCTTCATTAGAAGCTCTGTGATTTCCGGTTCCAAAGCAAGATCGCATTTACTTTGATTCTTATAGTCACAGATTTTGGCAGTGCTGTAGATATTCTCCATGTCACTTATAATTTTTTCGTATTCGTTATAATACTGTAATAAACTTTCAATTAATTATCATCGATTACATCTTTTACCCCTAGCTTCATCAGTTATATGCATATAAAGACTTTATATGACGAATAATAAAAACAATGATATTTATACAAATAAAACTATATTATTTAACTTAGATATTAGATAAGTTATAAAATATTATATAGTTTAACTGATCTACTTTGTTGGTTGCTTTTACCATGAAGTTTATAATCGTACTTCTGTACTTTAAAATTAAGTAAAAGAAATCGAAATTAATGTATCATTATAAATTCTTCAGAAAATCACACAGTGTATGTAACAATATGTTTAATAATGTAATTTATATCTTATGAATGTATGCTTGAAAAATATACATAATTCTTCAAACTAGTATATTTCATTTCTAAATCATAATAGTGTTATTAACAGCTTTGAAGATATTCGAGAGGGTTGATTTAAATGGGAAACTGCCATACAAAAATTGCTTTTTTCCGTGCAATAACGCTTTGTCTATATACTTCTCTTTAAACTTCATCCTGTTATAATAACATTTGACGCATTACTTGAATCCCAGATTAATTGAGACCTATAGTTAGAAAAATCTAAAATAGCTGTTACGGTTTAACAATTATTATATTATTATTACATTTTCAGGAAGTGCTGCGGGGCCCAGAACACTGAGCATCGAAAACTGTCTCTTGATGTTTTCATCCTTAATGTCTCTCCAAGGGAATTGATTCACTTCCTCCCACGCGGATTTGAAGTACCGTGCCGCTTCTGAGGACACGTTTAATTTATTTGCTAAATTGTCTGGAGTTAAATTCGCTGCATACTCCCAGTCAGCTAGCGTTTGCTTGTTGTTCCATTCTGCATACTGCTTGTCGATTTTACTCAAAAATTCTCTAGCTTTCTCCAGATATTGTTTTTCTGTGTCAGCCTCGTTGCCTTCTTGGGCCGTCGGTATTCCCCATGCCAGTGTCACGAGGGCTGCTGCCAGCAGTCTGGAAATTTTACATAATTTTGGTGTCTTTACGGACGAATATTAACAAATAGCCACTCGAAGTCTGTTTTTTAAAATTTATAATTAACATACACCTTTTTTTTAACCGGAGAACAAATTTTATTGATACAAAATCAAATTTATAGCTTTTAAATATGTTTTGATAAATATCGTTGCTTCATTGTATATATTTCAAAATCGGATACCCATTTGCAAAATGATCATGTTTGCAATGGACAGGGCGTCAGCAGGATACGTTGTTTTGATTGATATTGGAATATTAAAGTAGGTATTAGGGACTGAGGGTGTTTCTTGAGTGAAATTTTGTAAAATCGTGAAGCATTTGAAATATATAAGTATCTCAAAGAAATATAAAAATTGTATGTTTACACTTACAAAAAAGAATTTAAAAATGTGCATAAGTTTATATAAATTTTTAAAGTATTCAGGATTAGTTTAGTATAGTTTCTTTTTTTGTTAACTTTTCGATAAGTAATTTCCTTTAATCGTGAAAGTGTAAGACGAATCTTAAACGCTTGTCTTCACTAAATATTAATAACTGAAGAGGAATAAAATAAAATACAAATTTTGTTTAGTTTATCGATGGAAATGATTTTATTTATTTATTTATTTATTTTTTTAATAAAAAGCGATGATGAAAATGGATGTGTAAATGCATATTTTATATATTTTAGTAAAACAACTTCGTTTGAATCTGTACAGATCAGTGGCTAAAATAAGCAAATTGCCAAACCGTGGGCGTGTCTGCTATACCCGCATATGTCATGGGAGTATATGTTAAGTGGTTAATGAAAATAAGAATTAATCTCATTGTGGGTTGGTAATCGTTACATTTGCTAAAGTGACGAGAATTAAATTAACTGTTAAGTAATTCTTGCATATTTCTTTAGAACTTTCAAGATTTTTCGAAAAATAGAATTCGAGAAAAATATATAAATATTAAATTTACTGTTAATAAAAAATTGTTCAAGAGATATTTTTATAACAAAAATGAAAAAATTCTTAAATCATTAGCTATTATAATAGACAATTAATTATTGAAATCATCAATGATCGTGAATTTTCTGATATTCGGCAGAGTTGTTGGCTATATAAAGGCCGTCGAGTTGTTTCATAATTCATTCGTGGACATTCAGAGTGGATATATCTAAATTCTTTTATAGGGGTAGGTTAGGTGATAGGTTGGGGTGAGTAGGGATGACGAGTTGCAGGTCACTAGAAGGTCACTTCAAGATCTATTGGAGAGTGGTTCGAAGCTGGTTAGAGGGATTAGGGTTGCGGTAGGGGTAGACGGTGGTCATTAGTTAGACCTATCGACTAGTCAATAGCCATTGTACACTCCATTCCCCGTATTCCTCATATAACTTGATAATTTTTTGGTAAGAGATTTTTAATAACATTTTTTTTTTTCAGATTTTAATTTGTCGTTTCTATTTATTTTCTTTGAGAATACTAATATTTTGTAAAATATTCGAATATTTCGTTGTTGGTTTCTTTATGTCTTATTATTGGGTTGTTTGTGTGGTCGGCAGGTTGGTAGTTTATCCGCTATCCATACGAGGGTCTATCAACCCTACTACCTATGCCAGTAAGGACTAGTGGGTCCTGGACGCGTATACATGTCTACGGTGAGACCAAATGAGATGATTCCCTAATTGGTTTCACCCTCATAGGGCAAAGGCGAGGTGTGACCGGCTACTAGGCTTCGCTGGGGATCCTCGGGTTGATTCTGAATGTTTTATCGGTTCGTCGACTACCTTCGTTCATGAGTAAGACATGGCGGGGTTGACAGTGGCTGGACTTGGGGCATCGGGAGGGTGTTGGGGCATGAAGTCCTCTCGTACACGAGAGTACGCCGAGTAGGCTAATCGGTCTTTCGAATAATTGCGAACTCATTCTGGCAAGTAGCGATTTTTCACTTTCTCGCGTCTTTTATAATTACATTCCATATTTTTATAGAAATTTAGTAATATTAGAGTTTGTTGAAATAAAATATCCCAGTGTTGCGATAGTAGAGTAATAGGTTTTAGTATACCGAATCGGAGTCCCTTTTGTAAAACGTGAAATGTAATAAAGTGTCAGCAGCTTCGCTTTAATTTCTTTCGCTTCAAGTTATATTGGGGTATCTTTGTTACAGATTATTGCAAGTGGGGCGGATTGTTCGAATTTCCATACTTAGCGAGCTCTACGTGGTGAGACCTAGTAATTGGCATTTTCTTCCAAAGAGATATTTTTGGAAAGTGAAGCCAAGATAAGTGCTACGTACAGAACTTAAGATATTTGCAGTTTATTTCAATTTTCTTTTTGAATTCTGAAAATATAAAATGTTTAGAGGCTATTGTAACAAGATGTAAGTTAAGACATATTAAGCTCGTTATGAGTTTGGTATCAGCTTTGATCTATGAGACAACATCACCAATACCCTATAAAGAATGGGGACAATAGCTATTGTATCGACATGTAAATTAAGATAAATTATATTTATTATAAATACTTGTTAATAATTTATATATCATAAAGGTAAAGTATTGTCATGTAAATTAAGATAATAATATTGTCAATACTTTTCGATATTTCCACTTTGAGTGGAAGATCTAACAACGTTGTTAGATCTTGTGTACCTCACTGTACCCATTTCATACTCGACAACGTGTAACATTAGTACTGTCAAATAGTTACGAGGTCGCTTTGGTTCAACGATTCGAAAGTCTTTGCATGACGAACAAAAGTTTGTTCAAATATTTTTCATTTACTTTGTCCCTATTCTTCTAACGAATTGCTACATCGGTGCATTCCTGGCATGCATCAGCATCGTAAATGAATCACGGTTTATAGAGTACATAGAAATCGTCCTTCGAGATCTCATTACGGGTGAAATTTTACTATCAATGCTTGATGGCTTGGAATAAGTTAAATATTCACGAAAGATGTAAATCTTTGTTTTTACAACTATCTAAAAGTACTGTCTAAATTCCTAGATTTTCCCGTAAGGTTTAGGATGGTTTTAAAATTTAAAAAAGTTATCATTACGTTAGACAAATAATTGCTTTTAAGCTTTTTAAGATTTTTCTTATAACATGCATATAATCCATATTTCGATATCCATCTTTCTTTCTACTTCGTTTCTTCTGAGTTTCATATGTAATTTACTTTATCACGAGTCATTTAATTGGTCAAATAATTGGTCATGTTAAGTTTAATGTTGATAAAATTAGGAGAGAATTATATATTATTGAAATACTATGTTCAAATAAATACTGCTCTTAAGATTGCAAAAATTAAAATGAAGCAATTAAAGAGAAATATTTACGAAAGTTACCATTTTTATTACTTTTATAGGATATATTAATTGTTTCATTCTTTTTTGTATTTGAAAATAATATATAAAAAATTAAATCTCACAATTGAATAAAAGAAGAAAGACTAAACAAAAGGAAAATTTTGGTAGAAAAGGTACAATGCGGTATTTATATACACGATAGATGTCGACGTTTATTAGATTGACGTTATAATACATCTATGGCAATAAGAGGGTTAAATTATAATGTCGTATGGTACTCGTGAGCATAATGCCTTAATCGTCCGCCGTCTTTGTATTTTTCAATCGACTAAAATAAGATAACTGCTTCTAACAAGCGATGGTGTAGTACTATAACGTGATGGGAATAATGATGTAAATCTCCCAACAAATTTGTTCTTCATTTAAAAGTACATAAGTAAACGTGTGTAACTTAGTTTATCAGTGGCACAGATAGATCCACATAGATTTCTCGTGTTTAGCTTGATCATGCGTAAAGGAAAATTTTGTAATCCAGTATCCTCTTGTGCAATAATTCATCGCCTAATAATATTAGTATAATGATAAGGTACAAGTTGTAGGTTATAAATATCTATTGCTCAACCAGTTTTTCAATTTGACAAGTTACAAGCAATATCATTGATATTGTTAATAAATTTTACAGTAGACTCTATTTTATAGATTATGGATACTTGTTTACATAATTAAAGTCAATTTTTATATTTGGTTACAAAACGGATAAGTGCAAAAATTGTATTCATATCTGCCTCGGTTAAAACATCAACATAGAGTAATGTGATAATATTTCCGTTTGATTGTGAAATCTAATGGTAAAAAAAAAATGTGTGGTGATATCCGAATATTGTGACTTATCGTTTATCGGTAAATGATTATCAGGTTGTATCAATTTTCCTTTGAAAGCAGTTACAATATATCACCTTTTTCTTTCGTCTATTTACCTTATTCCTATGTATGTATGTTCTCTAAATTATGTTCACCGAACATGCTTTGTTGAAATTAAAAATGAATTCAACGGTTATGCTTCATCGTAGTAATAATTTTTGGTTTAAAGTTAATAATCTAAATAATCCTATGTCATAAAAGTAAAAAAAAAATTGTTTAAACTGACTTCAGATAAATATATTAGATATGGTAAATCTTATTAAAATCAAATTTCATTTTTATTATAAGCATTTGGATAACCTCCATCTTATCTCGTATTTATTTATTTCTTAATGAAAAGTATTTACAGACCATTAAGATACACTAAATTAAATTCTTTCAATTAAATTCTTTCAATTAATGATACAAAATAGTAATACCATTCATTAAAAAAAAAAAGCAGAAACATCACTATACTCCGATCGCACAATATGATACATTTCATAACGTAAAAACTGCATAATCTATTATCAAAAATTGAATTACGACACACCTGTATTTCTGTTGTGCAATAAGGCCTGCTGGAAATTAACAAGCACAACTGGAAAACTTTCAATACTTCCTAATGACTAGTTTACTGTCATGATAGCTGTTATAACGATCTAAATTGCAATTTAAGTAATTCGATAAAAATTTTATTAAATTTAATACTCACGGACGCAGCATTTTTCTTCAAAGCTTATTGAAATTCGACGAATTAATGTAACAGTTGATCGACGATTATGGTTGATTAAAGAGCAACTTTCACAAGTCTATCCCAATACTGTTTCCTTGTATACGTAAACCTGTTCACTGTCTGGCGAACACTCTTCGAGTGATGTTGAATCACAAGCACGCTAACTTTTATGCACTATCCCCACTCCACTGGTTTAATGTTTTCCTGACTACGTACAAACGCAACATTGACGAGTTGACGAATTCATCGTCTTGCATTGTAATAGGAATTTTAGTCTTTACTGCCTTTTTTTATCCAGAATCCTTGCCTTAATATCCACAGTCTGGTTAAACAGATTTTTATTAAACGAAAAGTTCAAAAATATCGCGGATATTAATAACGCGTAAAATGAATATTGATACGCATTAATGTAAGTACATAGAATTAATTTGTTGTAAAAAGGAATTAAATTAATTTATAATGCACGTAAATGTCAAGACTCTTAAGGTAATTGGAAAATTCTATTGTTAAACTTAACCTGATAGTTTGTGAAGTGATTTGGCATTTTCATTTGACATGTTTTCTTTAAAAATGGAAACTATAAAAAGGAGATATAATATCACTTAGAATATAGTCGATGTCACATGTTGCTACAAAAATAGTATCGAAATTTTCTAACAAAAATCAATGAGAAACCATAAGTCATCTCTCATATAATTAAAATTTTGCATTAGTCAATTATGACATATATTTAAATTTTCATGAAATTTGTTTACAAAAAGGAAACATTAAGATATTAATTTTGAGAATTAAATTTCGAAGATGAGTAGAAAAATAATTAGAACAAAGAAATTTAATAACAAATATCTAACAAAAGAGACGGAATAAATAAATATTCAAATTATTAGAAAGTGATAATAAATAATGGTACATAATAGACTAAAAATTAATTAATAAAAATTGTACTTAAGAACTTCGATCTTTTTGCTGTTAAAATCAGAACATTCCAGTCAATCTTAGAAAAACACATTTTTTAAATTACTCTATATATGTATACTAAATCTCCTTTCAACTTTTATGTTAAAAACTTGAAATAACAATTTTAGTAATTAAAGTAAAATATTAAAAGTATCATTTTGTTAAGAAAGAATTAAGAGTTTACAATAAATATTAATTTTCCATAATATATTTATTTCAAAAGCTCCTTTAATATTCACATAAAGAAAATATCTGTTTTAATTGATATATAACTATCTATTTTTTAACTTACCGATTGTAATAAATATATAGAAATAAAAAATTAGTAGAAACTTTTGTATTTCTGCAAATGTACCTCTAATGTATTTTCCTTGCATCAGACATACGATTTTCTATCTACTCTAATCTATTTTAAACATATTATTAAAATGCAAATAAAATTCTACTATATAAATCCAAGTTACTTTCATATTACATCAATCATAACAAAGAATATACAAAAAAATAACTTCCTCGTTAACTGTTCATCGTAATATTTTCACTCATTCCACTTATTTTCTTAGAATACCTTGAAATGCTTAAACACGAAAAATCTTATCAAACTCAATCAGTTTCTCGCATACCGTTCGACTACCGTGCACGTTTCACAAAATTTGTTCTTGGCGGCATTCAATTTGACGAGGGTAACGTCGTAGCACGTTCAGGAATTCATTATTTTTGTTGTACATGATCCTTCGAATTAGATCTATAAACAAAGAAAGTTGAAGAACAAACGCGCGAGCGTAACAAGCCTCGAAAGAACACGTTGCATCTTTACAAGGTCCTCTGTGAATTCATTTTTATCGTTTATCTCTAGTCGAAAACTAACAACCAGGTTGCTTAGCATTAATAACTACCTACCTGTTCAGTCATCTCAGACCAGTTTTACATTCCTGATTCGTAGGACTGAATGTCCTTGCCTGCTTGTACTGTAATGTCCTCTGGCTTCTTTTTCAACACTTGATCGCGTGCGCGTGCGCATACGGTTCTGTTTCTACAGGAGCGTGTCATTCTCAATGTTCGTGCTGATTTCAAGGGCTCCCCTTACGGGAATTGAATACAAAATGTCTCATGTAGCGTTATACAACGATTGTATTTATGAGGATTGTCCGTTCAGCGGGAATTGTCGTATTTCAGAAGCATTGTATACATAGAGGTCGATAGGGGAGTTCGTTGATAGAAATGTTTGGGGATAGCTGAGAGGATAGATTTGAGGGTGATATATTATCTATTTATAATATCTATTTGTAACGTAAATTATTTGTATAAATATTTATAATATAAACTAATAAAAATATATATTCCCGATATTTATGTTAATATAAATACTTTAAATAAAAAATT